TAAAATGCTATTTCTGGCAAGGCCTGTACAAACAAAGTACTCTTTGCAAGTGTTACTTTTCATGACAACAGAACTTTGACAACTAGGAAAATAGCCGGGAAATAATAAAACGACATATAGTATTTTACTTTTTTCAACACTCTGCATTCACCATGCTGCATAATTTACGGCCAAACCCCCTGGTATATTCCTGAGACTGTTTCAACCGCAAGGTTCCAGGACTCTTGTGGCTTAAGGTATTATGTTCATATGTATGAAGAGAACAGATTCGGCTGACCCTCCTTTTGACCCAGATTTTAATATGGAGTAATAAAGTGCCACTCTACACGACAGCATTTCCTTTGCCAACAGCCTTGCTCTGTTCAGGGAGCCCACATGATGCAGATCAAGAAGATGGAACCTAACTTACAGCTGAGCTGAAAAAGGCAATGTGGAGACTACACAGAAACAAGGGTTTCAACAATATGAAAGCTTGGACCCAAAGAGCTCTGAGCAGAAGGAGAAAATACCTCAGTGCCGTTCCATGAATTCTTGTCCAAGTGCTGGCAGAATATTTCTTGCAGTGCACTGCCAAAATGTATCTGAGGTCATGTCACATTGTGGCAGGGAGTGTTCCCACCTAATGCAAGACAGGGGAGTCCCCCCCCCTTTTATTAAAATAACAACAAGGTAAAGAAACATCACATACGTTATGCAGTGGACTGGGGATGGGGAACCTGTGGCCAATCAGATGTTCGTGGACTCCAACTTTAATGTGCCCCAGACATCCAGGTTCTATGGAGGTTGTCATCCAGCAACATATATAGAGGATGAAAGTAGTGGTGTAGCATCCTTTGCTGGGCCCCAGGGCTCATGTGCGTGCATGAGCACACACCAGCTGGGACCGGGGGCAGGACAGGAAGAACTTCCTGAGAGTAAGAGCTGTTCGACAGTGGAATTTGCTGCCAAGGAGTGTGGTGGAGTCTCCTTCTTTGGAGGTCTTTAAGCAGAGGCTTGACAACCATATGTCAGGAGTGCTCTGATGGTGTTTCCTGCTTGGCAGGGGGTTGGACTCGATGGCCCTTGTGGTCTCTTCCAACTCTATGATTCTATGATTCTATGACATGGAGGGTCAACAAAATCCACCAAGCCATCCCAGCTGATGCCGCCAGGCAGCTGCCAGGCATGGAGGGTTCATGGGGCCAAGCTGCGCTACCCGCCTGCCCGTCTACGTAGGGGCAAACCCTTTCCCTTTGTTACAGAAGAGAACATTCACTGCCTCCCTCTTCTCTGCTCCTTATTTCATTTTGGAATTCTCTGGCTTTGGGGGCAGGCCCATGCATGGGGCCAAAGCATACAGCAACTTTGTGGTCCCACCTTTTTGCCCTCTGAATAAAGCCTTTCTCTCCGCTGCAGTTTGCACAAATATTTAGGCAAGCAGCGATATCAAGAAGGCAGGAAGAACTCGATGGACACATTTGCAGAAAGAGAAAGCGAGTTGACCTGATTGGACTCTGTCATTATGAGTTCAGGCTCATAAAGTATCTTTGAAAAGTGCCAACTTGGCTCATAACTTCAACTTACTGTATAGGTAAAGGTAAAGGTAAAGGACCCCTGGACGGTTAAGTCCAGTCAAAGGTGGCTATGGGGTTGTGGCGCTCATTGCACTTTCAGGCCAAGGGAGCCAGCGTTTGTCCACAGACAGTTTTCCGGGTCATGTGGCCAGCATGGCTAAACTGCTTCTGACGCAACGGGACACAGTGACGGAACCTAGAGAACACGGAAACGCCATTTATCTTCCTGCCACAGTGGTACCTATTTAACTACTTGCACTGGTGTGCTTTTGAACTGCTGAACCCTGCTGAACCCCACCCTGTAGAATTCTATTAGTTATATTTTATCTGCACAATCAGAAAGCATTTTGAGAACAAAAATGCTTCTTCTGCGCAGCCTAAGCAGGAGCGGTGGAAGACGTTTTGGTTAATTGTTGTATGTCCTCACTTACCCCACCCCAACTGCCCTGCTCACAGTTGTGAATATTCTTACCTTATGAATGGTCCCTGTCACCATTAAGAAAAAGAGGTGGGAATAGGCCAATCGATATATGGACCGTCCCTGGATCAAGGGACTTTCCTTCTTTAAGTTCTCAAAGTCATTAACCTAGCTGAAACTTGTCATCTGAACTAGCCAGAGGTTTAACTGAGAATCAACCACAGTCAGTCCCTCATTTGAAAAACAAGACTTTAAAAGCCATCTTGCCCCCCCTCCCGGCAACTAGACATTCTATTTTGGTGACTGCAACCTTGGTCTAAGAAGCCATTTGGCGCCTATCTTATATATCTGAGTTTCCAACACTGGTTGTGTACTAAATTAGTCAGAATAAGTTCCTTTGGGGGGCAAATGTATTCACCGCACAAATTAGCATAAAAGGCACCTGTAGATCGCCATGTGTGAAGAACAGACACAAACCTATTGCATTACAGATGCCATAAACCTTGTGGGGAGCTTGCCTGTGCAGTGAGACATAGCCATGTGTGGAGATCACATGCGATCCACACCTGATTTTCATGCTTCTCTACAGAGCACATTATATGCAAGGAACATATAAATCAGTCCTAACGTTCAGTGACATAGCATCTGTTGCCGGCACCCAGGGTGGGTGCAGACACTGGGGATCATGTGCACTGGGGGGGGGGTGTTGGGAGGCATCAGCCCAGCCCTCACTGTTGATGCTGCCAGAGCGATCCCACCCCCACCAGAGCTAAGTGGGACTGCACTGAACAACCTGCCAGCTCATGCAGGCAGGAGCCTGGCTGGCCAACGCAGTCCTTGGTGGGCAGAGGAACACCAGGCAGGGCCTTGCTGGGGTCATCTGTGTGGGGTCACAACTCAAAAATTGTGCAGCCAGGGCCCTGGGCCCTTGGCACCCTCCATGCTACATTCCTGCTAAGGCTAAAAGCGGAGACCAACACATACGAGCAACAATTTCCAAAGCAAACATTACCTTCGAGAAGTCAGTAACACAAGGGTATTGAATTGGAGCAGTTAAAAAAAAAATAGAAACATTCAATAACTTATGTTTAACTTGTAGAAAACAAAACCCTCTTGGAACAAAAGCTGATTCTTTGCACATCAGATGCTTGCAGAGTAGGATGGCCACTGTCAGAACCAGAATTCTAGACTATTTTAGGATTGCCATATTTCAAAAAGTGAAAATCCAGACACAAAGGTTGCTGAGCTTTTTGTGGGGGGGGGGGGGAGGCAAAGCTGTTCAGCTTTTTTTGGCAAAATCTCAACAGACAAATTTTTGAGCATGGGTTGCCATACACCTGGGTTTCCCCAGACATTTTTACCCGGACATTTCCGCTATTTCCGACGGATGAATCCCGGATATGTCCGGGAAAACCCGGACGTATGGCAGCCCTATTTGGAATCCATAGCTATGTCCAGAGTGCTTGGGTAAAGTTGAGTTCACTAGGGTAGTCAAGCAAGACTACAGACCCATTGAAAGTAACCTCAGCAACTTATGACCATCAATTTCAAGGTGTGTATTTGGAGTATGCCTTGTGTTGGAATCAGTTGTGTGCTGTTAATTTAACTTTGCTTCAGGCTCGAGAGGATTCAGAGCTGCTCCAAACCTCTTTCTCTTGTCTGCCTAGTCTTTTGTGATTTCTCAAGAATGACCTTTCTCCTGCAGTGAGCGCACACACACTTGTGGCTGGCTCACGCCCTCTCTCTTAACTACGTAAGCGGCACTCATACTTGAAGGACAACAACAGAAAAAGGTAAGTTAATAGACAGGTAAATCATTTTTTAGACTTCCGATGGGAAACTTGGCAGCAGAAGGAAACTGACCTTAGTGGAGGTTAACAGTCACCAGTGACAAATCAACCAAGCCATTTTCGTTTCACAATTGCTTGGCGTAAGCTTCACTGCAATCGGATTTCTAATGCCCTATGGCACATTTATTTTGCTCATAAACTCTTGGCATTTAAGAATTTTAATTGACTTTGACTGCCTCTTCTTCATTCTGAGGGTTTTGAGGGTGTTTTGGCCCACACTTTTCCCTAACCAGGCATTTATTGAGCAACTTACACAGGCCAGAGTGATGCATTAATAAATTTATGCTGAAACAAAGGCCACACATTGAGCTACCCACTTCTGTCCCCTAGAGATCTAGTGCACCAAACCCATGTCAAGTCTTGCAATTCCCTAAGTGGTTGTTAACTGGCAGGTGGTGAGGAAATGAACAGTAAAGTCATGTTAGGAAACAAGTTAAGGGGAGGGTGAACAAGGCAGACAACTGCCTTTTGTGATAGGAGTTGTCTACAGCCAACAGGCTGCCCTTGAGATGTTGCTGGGCTAAATTTCCCATCATGCCTGACCATGCCAGCAAGGCCTGATGGGTATTGTAGTGCAACTTTTAGAGGGCACAATATTGAGTCATTGGCAAACACTGGATTATCAAAGTTGGAAGGGGCCATGAGGATAGTCTAGTCCAGCCCCCTGCAATGCAGGAATATTTTGCCCCATGTGGGGCTCAAAGACATGGCCCTGAGATTAAGAGTCTCCTGCTCTACCAGCTGAGAAGTATGGCAACAACAAGTTTGAGCCAAGGTCTTCTGTAAAACAGGCCATCACTTTCTGCAAACTCACTCTCCTTTCTCTCTTCAGCATACATTACTTCAGGCATAAGCAAACTCGGCACTCCAGAGGTTTGGGACTACAACTCCCATCATCCCTAGCTAACAGGACCAGTGGTCAGGGATAATGGGAATTGTAGTCTCAAAACATCTGGAGGGCCGAGTTTGCCTATGCCTGCATTACTTCCACTAGCTCTGCATTTCCGTCTACAATCATATAAGGATTCCATGTCTTATCAAACAACAGCCTTCAGAAGAGATCTCAACTTATTTTATAGTTTCATTATTCATTTTTGCATTCAGAAATGCCTTCCTTTCATAAGAGACGGTTCAGTTCCAAAGGACCGGAGGAAGGGGAAAAAACGACAAGCAGCCCAGTTTAATTTCAAACGTTAATATATTTTCTATTTTATAGGGAACATATGTATCTTTCACCCCTTATTTGCAGCAACTGTGGCATCCTCATAAAAAGGGGTGAAATTTGTAAGATGCCTCTTAAAATAAATATTTCTTTTTTATAAAATAATAAAACTTCAAATAAATATTCTTTACACTAAACAATATGTTGAAAAAAATTAGAAAATAAAGACTGAATTTTACTGTAACTGTACAATATACATGAAATCCAAAAAAAGTGGGTGGGGGGAATCAGAGTCTTGCAAATGAAGGGCTTCCTTAAGGCAAAATACAATCTAAAACATACTGATTGATTCACATTCTTTTGAATGTACAACATATTAGTATAATATTTTGTGACCTGTGCCATGTCTTCTATGACACTCGTGTTTTCACAGTTGAAAATATCCTATATACAAAAATATAGCACATCTCTGGCAGAAAATAATCGGGAGCAGGTTGAAGTAGTTTCCTAATTTACAAATGTACTATTCATTTTTTTGGGGGGGGGAACCCACACATGTACAACACGACAGATTGCCTAGGAGTGTCTCAAGCTGCGTTAGCTTATGCAATAGTCGGGTCCTGCGGAGCATCTCTCCCTTCATCTCTCCATTAGGTGGACTAGAACAAGCAGGTATCCGTTAAGTTGGCCCGTGCAAACACACAAGAGGAAGAGCAGGTCACTGCAAACCTCAGGGCACACCTCCCCATCCTCCTAAGACACAGTGCCACAATTATAGCTCGTTTAGTTGGCTGCATATGATGCTAAAAAGGAATAATCCGTATTATTTCGCCGTACTCCCGAGGAGCGATGCTATGTCAGCTTCTCGAAGTTCCTGGGGGGGACGTTGGGCACTTTGCAGCAAACAGTGTTGGAGTGCTTACAGCGGCAGCCGGGCCTGTTCACCTGGTCGTAACAGCCCTGGCACAACTTAAGGCAACCCTTGGCCGGCAGGTAACACCACAGGCAAGGCAGAACGAGGGACACGACGCCCATGGTGGACCACCGAGTGCAGCAATGGGACTGGCTACAAGAACAAGGGTTATCGGCGCAGTTGTCTTCGTCGTCGTTGGAGCAGTGGTAGAAAAGGCCCTTGACGCAGCAGACGCAAGTCCCATAATCGACCACGTTCTGGGCCGAGCAAAGACACTGTTTGTCACAGATCCAACAGGAGGGAAGAGTTCGCGGGTAAGTACACTCCTTGCACTTGCATTTCCCACAGTCCTCACACCTGTAGGCATGCAGGTGCAGATCTTCCTTGCTAGGGGGCTTGAGTTCACTGGGCTTCAGCTCAGACTTGGGCTGCACTCGGACTATCCCATCCGCAACGGTCCCCAAAGACGACCCCAAAAGTCTCTGTTCTGATGAGTTACTACTCGTACTGGTCCGGGTACTGGCCCGCGAGCCGGTGCTGGCCATGCTAATGGAACGGGACAGTGGTAACCGGGAAGATACATGGACCTGGGGATGTTGGACCCTGCTAAGGTGATCAGTCAATCCATTGGCCCTTTCGCTCTTGTGCTGGAGAGGCAGACGCGGCGCTGGCTTCACCCCAGGCCGCGGAGCCACCGTAGGTGGTTCAGTGTATTCGTTTGTATTTCGGATGGCCTTGATCTGGTCCAAGGACAAGACGTGAACCTGTTGCGCCAGGACATCTCTTAGGTCAGGTTCTCCATACTGCCTCCCGCTGTCATGCTGACTCTGTAGCAAAGGCTGTGACCCACTGCCATTCTGAGCTCTCGTCTCCATCAGTACCCTGAAGAGTGATCACTCCAGGAAGCTTAGAACACATCTGAAATCCTGCGGGCAAAGGAAGAGAGGATTAGGGTTTTGTTGCTACGTTGCCTGGTGTATTGGTGTATTTACAAAATCCCTCAACATGACACACTTCACAGCAGCTAGTCCCTGAAAGTAAAGGCACCAAGCCTTCATGGTGGAAGAAGACTTGGGGACAACCAATTCAGTGGAAATAAGCACTCTTTTTTATGATTTCAAGGCAAAGGCAAGGAACCTGTGGCCCTACAGATACTGTTGGGTTTCCAACTCTTGTCAGCCCCAGAGACTATGGTTAGGGATAATGAGAGTTGTAGTTCAGCAATACCTGGAAGTCCACAGGTATCTTCATCCCTGTTTTAAGTGATCAGAGGCTTTGTTTTCCAGCATGGTCCTCCCTTGAAGAGAATGGATCTTCTTTGCAGAAGAGATGCTACCAACCTACCTCTAGAGAGCATTTTTAAATCCAGTTTTAAAATTGGATCTTATTTATTTTTTAAAAAGAGAAAGGTAGTTGTTTTCTACATTTTACAGGGTTCTGCTTTTTAATTAAGGATTGGCAAAGACCTCTTCTTCTGGAAACCCGAGGAAACCTGCATCTTAGTCACTTCTTGACGTTCATTATAGGACAAATTCACACACTACATAGTACAAGCTTGTACACTTGACAGAAAGAGCCAAAGAGTCAATCCTGGCAACTCTGACAAATGTACCCGTTCTTTGCATATGTTTGCAACCACATTGCAGTTTTTATATTTCATACCTAAAAAAGGGAGAAGCCTGCGATGAGTCCTTACATGTCCCTGCCTGAATCTCTCTCTGTGGATCTAGACACCTTAGGTGTCTGAAGCTCTTGACAAATCCTCTCAGATCAGATTGTAACACACTTTTGCAGTCAAAAACCAGTGTGTCAGAAGTCAGTGCACCCAAGTTCACTGTGGTCCACTCCTCAATAAATACATACAGGACTGCAGGCTTAAGCCATAGGAAGAGATGGGACCTCCTCTGCACTATATGTAGCAGACTTTAAACAAGTAAAACAGAACTTCCCAGTGACAGAGTGGTAATTTTTCTATCCTGTGCAAGCCTAGCAAATACGTCCTCTTTCCACACTGAGCTTAAACATGTTGCAAAAAAGAAGAAGGAAAAATGTGTTTTTCTGCAAAGACACTGCGAAAAGCATAAAGTAGCAACAACGTGTCTGAGGCTGGTCTTAAGTGCAGGCCAAAAAGCATATACAAAGTACCTCTCTGCAGAACTTTTAATATTTGTCTACAACTTTGCATTCCTAAGCCCCAGCACCTGAAGCTTACAATGCTGAGCACTGTAAGGGTTTTCATTGTGCATTCATAACACCCAGAGATAATCCATCCACTTCCTGGGCACTGCCAGGGGAAAAAAAAGTGGTTTGGCTTACAATACACAAATATCCTGCGTGCAATCTGCAAGCCACATGGTTCCAGGAACAGCCTATGACAATATTGCTTCAACTTGAACAGCACTACCTGAACCACCATTACTTACAATGGAATCTTGATAAAGTATAGACAGAGAGCGACAGGACTGCCAACTATAAAACAGCTGGGCTAAATACCTCTCTCTCACAAATGAACAGGATCCAGTTTGCAAAAAAAAAAGTCTGAGGAGCAGTTGTTCAACAAAAGGAGAATTCTCTTGGTCACATTACAGTGACACTACAACCTGGTGCATACATTTCCATGAATTCAGTGTGAAACTTACTTTTAAGTTAAAGAGAAGTATAGGAACCGGCTGCTTACACAACTGGAATACGCAGGGCTCGTTTCTGACTAAACATGCATCAGATCAGCGAAAGCCTATGCATATACTTGCAAGTAAGCACTATTAAACTCCGTGGGACTTACTTCTAAGGAGTACTTAAAATTCTGGCTTGGATTTGCCGGCACATAAAAACCACCCAATAATCTGCAGTAATTACAGGGTGAAAATCAAGGTATAGTCCTCTCTATTGCAATGACCTCATAGCAACTCCCCCCTTTAAAAACCCCAAAAGTACTACTAAATTTAGGTGGCTGTGCAAGATACTACAACCTTTAGGTGAAGACTGCAACCCCGTGCAGTCTTATCTCTCTCTGGAAGGAATTCCCACTGAATTCCAAGTAAGCAGTGCCGGCTGAAAATCTGTCCACAATCCGCACGTCGGGAAAGATCTGTCTCACGTTTCCCTCCCGCACTGCCTCCCTGCCCGCCCGCCAGCCAGGGAGCATCACCTCCTTCCTTCCTTATTACAGGCTTCTTCCTTTCATACATAAAACAATCCGCCTAGCAGGTGGGATGCCAGGAACCTGCTCATTTTCCTCCAGGCTGCCCTGATACTGTGTTCAAAGGAACCTCCCTGAAAGGCAGACAACCTGGAGATCAACAGGAGACAAGCAGGGCGGGGGGGCGGAGAGGAGGGTGAAGAGAGACGGAGACTTGTACTGTAATAAGATTGCCTTATCAGGAGAGCCTGGCAGGATCTTTCCTTCCTCCTCCCAGCAGGAGATGGGGAAGGGCTCTTTCCTGCTTCAGTTATGTAAAGTGACTTACATATCTGCTCCGTCCTGAGCACCTTCGAGGCACCTGCTCACACAATCCCCTCCCTTCCCTCTCCCCCCACCCAAATGCCATCAAACCCCACCAGCTTCCAAGAAGTCAGGTCTGGCAGGAAGTCTGCCCCCAAGGGAGCGCCTGCTGGGCATTTGTCCGATTTGCGTAAATTTCAAGCAAATCCCCATCTCATGAATGACAAAGCAGGACTCTCAACTCTTCCTCCCCCCATCACAAACAGCCTCTGGAATTTTATTGCCCGGAGGGAAACGCATTCCCCTGTCGACAGATCCAGCTACACTATGAACAAACAAAGTCCCCTCACCCCCAGCCACGAAACACCCTACTTTCTAACAAATGCAACAATTGCTGAAGCCTTATTTTAAAATCCTCTGTGCCAGGATTTGTGGTGTTGTACGTATGTGCCAACTGTCCCACGGATTTTAAAAAGCCAAAGTCCATTCACTAGCAAAGGGAGAAATGCGAAGTAAATCAGGGGTGCGGGTGGGGGTGGCTTTTGAATAAACGACGAAGAATTTATATAGTGCACAACCACCCTTTTCTTCCATGCAAAAGCTGCTGTCTCTCAAGCACCCACAAGCTTTCGATTTTATTTTTAAAAATAATATTTAGGGTGCTTTATCTCAGGGGTGTTTAGAACACCCTCTTCGTCTTTGCACCCCCCCCATATGAATGCCTCCCTCCCCTATTTAGGGCTGAGTCTATGTAGCAGGCATTGGGGTGGGGCAAATTAAGCCTTAAGAAAGAAAAAAGAAACATGACCAGCCATTCCAAAAGTAGCAATCTTCTGCATATTCCACCCCCCCCTCCAAAAAAAGGCCCGGGGCGGTAGGGAGGGGGAAGAGAAAGAAGGTAGAGCAGATGTCAAAAAAGAAAAAAATGCACTTCAGAAGACAATCCGGTTAAGTGGGAGATTCTCCCCATCCCTCCCACTGGCAAAACCCCCCACAAATTTACACTTAAAGACGTTCGCTCACTTCCGAATTGCACATTCCAAGTGCACAAGTTTGAAATGAGGGCGGCTAAGTACGAGGTGAGCTTGGATCTAAGAAGCTACAGAGCAATTGGAGTTGGGGAAGAAGGAGTTGCGAAAAAGAAAAAAAAAATAGCCAAGTCTTTGTTTGTTTCGGTTTTTTTACCCCCCTGTCCTGCAACCCAGCCTTTTTGACAGGCTCTCTTTGCAAGCAACGGAGCTGCTTAACTGTTCCGAACTCGGACGCACGTTTCCGAAGCTGGGCACCGCGGCGTGCCGTGCACAAACCGAGGGGAAGGCGCTGCCGCCAGAACTTCTCTGCAGAAATAGCTTCACTTCAACAACCTGTGGGGAGATTTCCGCCCTTTCAAAACAACGCTCGCCCCCAATGGCGCGAGGCGAGGGGTTTCCTCTCTTGCAGAGTCATCCGCGAGGCGCAAGGACGCGCCAGGAATCCTTCAAAGCGCGAAGGAACTCCGCGATCTGTTCCCACCCGAGAAAACTCAACCCCCAAACAACACCCGCAGACACACTTTTCCAAGGCAATCTCCCCGAACACACACACCATTTTGCAGTCTCTTTGCCGTGCACAAGAGAAAAGAAACACCCCTCGCAGGACTTCTACCAAGGGAATCGGCCTGAAATTTGCATTTGTCTCCTTGCAAACAAGTCACTTTAAAACGCACACGCACACACATATATATATAGAAGCAGAAGCTTGCTTTGCAATGAACCCTCCTCTTCCTCCTCCTCCTCTCTCCCCTCCTCACAACCCCTTCTCCTCTCCACCCCGCTCCCTGGATTTTCTTCTTCCTGAGGTTGACGAGTAAAACGCAACCCCGAAGCCAAACGAAAATAAAAGGAGGGGGAGAACAGAAGCGGCTCTTCTGTTCCAGAAACTCACTTCGAGTCCAGGTTGCGAGCGAGAATCATTGAAACGAGCAAAAAAGAAAGGAAAAAGCAGACAATCCACGGCAAAGTTGCGTTCCCCCCCTGCCTCCTTCTGTCTTCTCCGCAGGGACGGCTGATAATAAATAGCAAAGAAAACAAACCACAAATGTGTGCGTGTGTGTGTGTCTAAAAAGTCCCTTTTTCCAGACGGGGCGAGGGTTTCTCTTTTTCTCTCTTCCCTCTTTTCCTTCGCAATCACACACGTTGATTTCCTTGTCGCTGTTGCTTCTCTCTGTCTTTTTTTTCTCAATGAACAAGAGGCCGATTCGTCAATCCCAAGTCACTTTCGCTTAATACATCATACACAGGGGGAGGGCGAGCCCAGGCGAGCGACATAAAGTGAGTGGCTCCTGGCGAGAACGAGGAGAAAACAGAATAAAATCCCAAGGTTGCCGCGGACCAGGAGTTGTTGTTTTCGCTCTCTTCTTCCAGCTTGGGCGTCCCGATCGGTTGCAATCTGGATTGATTTCGCTTTGTAAATTTTTGTGGGGGGATGGGTGCGCGCTAAGGGCTTGTTGCTTCTTTTAAGTGGTTGGCGAGCTCTCTTCCCGTCTTCTTCTGGGCAAATGTGTGTTGTACGTGAGCGCGTGCGTTTTCTTCCCAAGGCAGCTTTTGCTGGTTGCAAACTGGGAGGAGGAGGGGCAGGAGGAGGAGGAGAGCAAGGTCTTCCCCCCTTCTTTTTCTTTTTGGGGGGGAGGGAGGGAGGGAAAAGTCAGCGGGGCTCGAGAGCCGCAGTTGCTGCTGCCTGTGGCGCGTTTGCAGGAAGGCAGGTTGGAGATCCGTCCTTGCAGCGCTCCAGCGTTTTTCCGCCCTCTCTCCTCCACCTCCTCCTCCCCCCCCTCTCTCGCCCCCCCCTCTTTTTCTTCTTTCCGGAGGAGGCAGGGTGATCTCTCCGCAAAAGCAGCAGTAAATGGCGTCATGTGGATCTGAGGAGGAACAGAGCAGTTGTTGTCCCAGAGGATATATCGTATCCGGTCCTACCTCATTGGCTCGCCCGGGCTTACATTCACTTACCCTCCCAACCTCTCCGCCTGCCAGCGCTTGGGAGCTAGCCTTTAGCAGAGCGCGCCAGGAGGTATTCAAAAGGGCAACACCAGCTTGGGGAGGGACGGAGAGAGGAGAGGAGCCCATTCGCCGATCCAACGGCTTTTCTTTCTTTCTTTCCTTTTTCTTTCTTTCGTTCCTTTTCCTTTCTTTCTCTCTCCCCTCCTCGATTCCTCCCCTCCTGTTTTTTGTTATACGCGGATGGGGCTGAGTCTAGGCACACACATACATACACACACACACACACACACACACACCCCGAAAACTGCAGGGGATCGGGGTATTATTTCCACAATAATTTCCGCTCTCGGTGCAAGCTGGAAGGAGGGAGGGAGGGAGGGGACTGTGACCCGAAAGCGTTTTAAACGTCGCCGGTGACATTTTGGACAAAGAGAAATGATCAACGGGGATTTGAGCGCCCTCTCCCCCCCCCCGGCACTCCTTCCTTCCCTCCCTCCCACGCACGCTTACTCGGAAGTAAGTCGCATTCCGCGCTGATCCCATGCAATGCCTGTTCCACGGGCTTTAGGGAGATGGCCTCTTCCAAGAAAGCTCGTGTCAGATTTGTGGGCGGCTTTCTTTCCCACCCCCGTGTCGGAATTTACAGCCGTTTACTCTAGAGTAGGCTCTTCTTATTCCCCCCCTCCAAGGTTCAGACGGTCCCTTGGCTGTTCCGAGATGTGTCTCTCTTGCTTAGCAGGTTTTCTGCGGGCTATGTTTCTGTCGATTGCTCCGGGGACTACTCGTGAGCAAATGTTACCGGGAAGTGCAATTCCAGAAGGTCTCTTCGAGGCTGAAATCCCAAAGTGCAAAAGAGTTGTTTTACTCGGGAGTGGGTCTGGGTAGTAGGAGCCCTGTAAATTTGTAAAGGGAGATTCTAGGAAGGCTGCGATCCTTTTCCACGCTGTAACCTGGGCATCAATCTCGTTGACTTGGATGGGATTTACTACTTAATCATGTAACATGAACAGGATCGGACGGCGCGACTCTGGAACCATTCACTTGGCTGTCCCAAGGATCTTATCGATATTGCAAATGACAATATTTAGGATAGCAGCTCCAAGGCAGCCACCTCTCATACTGCGTTTACTCGCGAGTAGACACCCCCCTCCAAAACAAACACACACATACACAACCCCCAATGCTTTCCTTTTCCCTTCAATAATAATGAAAAGTGAGTCGCTCGCAATCTTCGGCCAACTTACTCTCAAAGTAGACGTGACAAAAGTCAACAAGGCTGACCCAAAAGAACACGTGTTTGAGAATTGCATCATTAATGTTAGACGTCCTGCCCCGCTCCCACCCATCCCCTCCTTTGAGAAAGAAGGTAATCCAATCACCTAGCAGATTTTAGAGGGCGCTGTGTTTGTAAGAAGGGGAGGACACATTGTTCGGTGGATTAACACAATTGATACGCTGTGTACAAGTGTTAGCTCCCAGCCCGAGTCGCCCTCCCCCACGTTAGTGTACGTGAGGAGCGGAACACTGCGTGCCTGAAACAGGCCGGCTCCCACTGTTCTTTGCATCCCTTTCTCTACCAACTCTCTCTCTCTTCCCTCCCTCCCCCCGCGCCCCTTCAGTTAAAAATGGGATTAGCGAGATGCTCCTTCCGGAGCATTCAGACTGTGGCGTGCAACCATTTGGGCTGAAATCCTTGCACGCTCATGGGACGCCTTTAAAAAGTTACACATGATCCAGGAAAGAAAAGAGAAAGTGCGCGCGAGTAAGAATGTAGCGCTGAGAAAACGGGAAATGGGCTTCAAAACCTTGTTGAGCCTGGTTTACACGCGGAAGATAGCCCCTTTTGGTGCTTGTGGTGAAGTAGAATAATAGCGTGGGAAGGGATCCTGTGGATCATCTAGTCCAACCCCCTGGAATGCAGGGATCTGCAGCTGTCCCATATGGGGATGGAACTTGCAGCCTTGATATTATCAGCGTCAGTTGGATACCCAACTGAGCTTTCCCGGCAGACCAAGTAAAAAAAGCCCTTTTCAACTCAAAGGGACTTGCTGTTGTGTGAACAGTTTCCTGGATTGGGCCTCTAATTCAGGAACAATTCCTTGCATGGGTGCAATCGAGAAAACTTACTTCAGAGTAAGTGTACTTAGAATTGGTTTCTCTGCCCCAGTTTCAGGAATATTTTAGGGGTGCAGCCTGCAAATGAAATACAAGCTGATTCATTCTTGATATGGGTGAAAGAATCTGGTGGGTGGTAGGACTAGAATGGTGCCATTGGCATTGGAGAAACTGGAATCCATTGCTTCGCTGAATGTCACCAGGGATCCATTCATTATTTTCAAAATTATCATTATTTTTAAAAATGATGCGAAGACGTCTACGATGATGGTCCTCTGGATAAATTCTGCCAGGAACTTTGACCACTGGTGGCATTTATCTTGGGGTAGTTCAATCGATTGTACCACTGCCGTGGGTAGGAGAAGGAAAGGAACAACCTGGCAGCATTATTCAGAAAGCAATTACGCTTGTTTCCTTAACGTTCAAGACAGTTCAGTGACTGCGAGGGCTACAGCTGTTTAAAAAAACCAACAGGCAGCCACAATGCTCACAAATTTCCTGGTTCATATTGTCATCCACTTGGGAAAGGTGACGAAATCACTTTAATTCCAAATGCGTTGTTTGTGGGTGACAGCAGTAAACTTTATCTTCCCACAAATCTCACCAGGGCTTCCTGGAAAGAGCCCGATATGGAGTGGCAGCCCCCATCCTTGGCTTGTTTACGGTGAAGTAAGTCCCACTTTGCTCAACGGAATTCACACTCATTCACCAAGGCCTAATTTGGCTACAATCCTACCCACATTTCCTAGGGATTAAGTCCCAAGTAAACATGCCCTGGATTGCGCTGTTAAGTGTTTGGAGACTTCTGGAGCAAAAGTGGTTGGCTTCCTTCTCTCCAGATGTTGAACTACAACTCACATCCTCCATGACTCTTGGCCATGCCGGCTAGGCCATGCAATCCCAGTAACAACTGGAAGGCAGTGGTTAGGCACACTGGTCTATAGTGAGAAGTATGACCACATTCAGATGATCATCTCAGTACAGTGGTACCTCGGGTTACATACGCTTCAGGTTACATAAGCTTCAGGTTACAGACTCCGCTAACCCAGAAATAGTGCTTCAGGTTAAGAACTTTGCTTCAGGATGAGAACAGAAATCGTGCTCCGGCGGTGCAGTGGCAGCAGGAGGCCCCATTAGTTAAAGTGGTGCTTCAGGTTAAGAACAGTTTCAGGTTAAGAACGGACCTCCGGAACGAATTAAGTACTTAACCCGAGGTACCACTGTATATTAAGTTTATATATTAAATTCTGCCTACACACGTAATCCCTTTGCAGTGAGATGCAATTAAACCAGGAAGTGTGTAATTAACCATAGTTTCTCACTTTGTCTGCCCAAGAAACAGTGGTTAGCAGCTTTGGGCACAAAGTCAGGATCTTAAATGTCGGTTTGAAGTTGATTTGAGATCTTGACTTGTTCTGAAGTTGGCAACCATATTTTCCCAGCTCAAATCAGATGAGACAGGAAACTCTGGTGAACGAGAGACTTCCTGGTTCAATTGCAAAAATGAAAGATGCAAGCATATCTTGACTCAATAAGCCAAGATATGATAATCTGATGTGGCTCTCTCTCTGCACAGGCTCCCAGCCAGTCTCACTTTCTACGCGTAATTTAATACTAGGCTTTCGAAATCAACCAGACTTTCCCCATTGGAGCCTATTAGGTAAAGATAATGCATGCCATTGGCTGTTAGAATATTACCGTGCAATCTGAACCCAAGCTGCTGTCTAGGGAGGCTTTGCAGAGTGGCAGGGCTACTGCCACACCCGCAGCCCTGCCAAGGTGGAAGGTGGGAGGAAAGGCAAATAGCAGCACCAGCCAGGAGCTGGCACAGAAAATTGGACCCATTGCCATTACATTCGGTGACAATGGGGCCAGTTTGTGACCTACCAGATCCTGGGCTAGCTCATCTCCTTCTCACCATCTCCCAATTTCTGGGTGTTTTTTGCAGGCTGTGGGCATTCCGCTGGCTGTACTTTCACCTGCCCATTTGGCAGGTGGAATGGACAGAGTGAAGTTGGCATCACTCCTTGGGCAGAAGGCGACAGGACCAGGCAGAGGGACACCTATGCCATATCCAACAACTCTTTCACGGTTTTTTAAAAAAGAGTAAACACTCAAGAACACAACATCCATGTTGTGGAGTATGTCCTATTTTGGATGTCGTCCTGTTTCTATTGGCTGCAAGCTAGCCCCGTTTAATGCAGTGGGACCTACTTCTGAGTAACACATATAGGAATGGACTGCATGAAATATGCATGATAAAACTCACATAATATGCAAATGTGGAGGAGGGCCAGTGACCATAGGTTCCATGTAGCGTGCATGGCCCTGACACTGAAATTTGTGGGTGCCCGGCCTCTTCATGGGGAATTTTGTGGGTGCTCAGGCACCCAGGGAGCCAGCACCTATTAGTAGCCCAGCTGCTAGAAATTTGGAGTTTGAGTCAAATACTTTGCAAATAAGAGCTGGGCTAGTAGGCTAAATAATGAAAAATTCTCTCTGGAGGTGTTTGTGCAGACCAGTTCATTCATATTGTTCTTATCCTTACCCTGTAGGCTCTGATGCAGAGGACTGTGTAGTAAGCAGATTTTGCAAGTCTCCTATTTTCAGATTCAGCACCCAGCAACCTCAGACTCAAAAGACTTTCAAAAGTCCAATGCTGGGTGTGTCAGTATGCGTATGTGAACCATTATTTGCAAGTGCAAAGC